AAGACGGTCAAATCGAAAAAAATTAAATGGGGAAAACAATCTAAGGAGAAAAAGCTTAGTATTGCATCTCGTTGTCATCGTTGGCAACGGGTACCATATTATCTTTTTTTTCTATTTTCTTTTTCATCACTCCCAGTGTCTACTCTGCTTACCATTCGCAGCGAAACATAAAATAATAAGTATAAAAAAATAATAGATAAAACGAATAAATAAATAAGTAAAAAAAATAGATAAAACGAATAAATAAGTAAATAAAAACAAATAGATAAAATGAATAAATAATATAATAATAACAACAATAATGATAATAACAATAATAATAATGTTTGTCACTGTCGCATTGAAGAATATTGATAACGTGTTATCCAGTTCCTTTCAGTTTATATTTTCAAGAATATATCCTGTTTTTGTTTGTTCATTCTAAACAATGTAAGATGGTTCTGAAGACTATTTTCCGGATGAAACATGTTATATAATGCACATATAATATCCATTTACACCTTCACTCATACCAACCTGTCCCTTCATTTAATTGTTAACTCAACCTAAAAGTAGAATATACGGTCTTAAAATTCACAGTTATTTTATGTCTATCTTGCTTTTGAACACAACTTTCGCTACGTAACTAAAGCTCTCTTTCAGAACGCAATCCAGGTTCCTCTCATATCCTATCTTCGTTATCTCCTTTTTGTCTTCTCTTCCGTTATCGTCTTCATATCCGCTTCATATCTTCATTTTCTCCTATGTCTTCTCTTCCGTTAACGTCTTCCTACCAGCTCTATCTTCTGGTTTGATATCTTACCAATTTTTTTTTTTTTTTTTTTTTTTATTAATCTGATTAGCCTCTTTTTTTCGGTATTTCGCTACTAGGCCTATATACCTAGACTAGCACATTGGGAATACTCTTAAGGTGCTGTCACACTAGCACTTTTTTTTTTTTATGTCAATTTTTCGTAAATTGTCAACTTTTGGAGGCGATATCATCGTTTCGCGTGCGACTAATAGTTGACAATTTATGAAAACCTGACAAGAAAATAACGGAAAAAGCCCCTATTCTTCGCCAAAGCTCTCAATTCATCGTTCATGGTTTGTTAAACGCCGTAACGGTTTAATTAAGTTGGTTTCTTGTATTCTCCCACGTGCTTCAGGCAGACATATACTAAAATCCATTTAAACTATCCACCTAAACGTTTTCAAGTAATTAAAACTAATAAAATATAAAGATGGATGTTCTTTTTAACTTATGCGCATGAAATAGAATAAATATATTACATATTAATGGTGAAAAATGCAGAAATTATTGTGAAGAGATGCACTTGTCTAAAAACATATTTTTTCGAGGCTTCGAACACCGTGAATGATTGTTCGAACTCGTTCCATTGGATGCGATAAATAAGCTATAAATGCAAAATTAAGTTTGAAAAAAATAAGAAAATAAGAGTTGTAGTAACATAAAATTGCAGTAGTATAAAGTTTGTGTATGTATAATAAAACAGTTTTAGTTTGTAAGATTTAAAAATTATTTGAAGATTTTCCAATTAATATACAATGTGACTATGAAATATGAAGTCTACATAGCATATTTAGGAAATCACCATGACTTTACAAATATTTTAAGTGATAATACAAAATGTGTGTATATATCCATGTACATGTATATGTATATGTATATATATGTACATGTGTATATGTATATATATTTATATGTATATATATAGGTATTTGTGTATATCTATATGTGTATATATGTATATATACACATATATGTATTTATGTACATATGCATATATATAGACATGTATATACACACACATATATATGCGTGTGTATACACACACATATACATGTGGTTGTATGTACATACATACATCCATATATATATACATACACACATACATACATATATATATATATATATTAATATATATATTATATAATATTGTTTAATATTAATTCAGTACTGGTTTATTGTATCATTCTTCCTCTTTAAGCTGACAATGTAATATACTTGAAAATTTTCTGTTCACTTTGCACTTTTCCCCCTATAAGCTTCAGGATTCACAGAGCGGTCATAAATATCTTTTATGTGTATGATATCAAATGTTCCACGCATCAAATCTAAATCATTGAGACATAACGACATAATGATTTTTCAGTCATTTAAAAAATATTGATATTGAACAGTGTCATTTATGGGACGAAGGATAAAAGAAACAAAAATGTCCTGTATCTATATAAACCATCACACGGTAAAAATTGACTATTATTTCACTCACCACTGACTTTGAAATACATATTCGTGAGAAAGCCTATTGTAGGAAAGACAGACAACAAAATATGGACGAAAAATTATTGGGTACACCACCCTTTTTTCAGATTATAGATTCATGACACAATGCCAAAAACCGTTATATGTGTGACTCTTTAGAAACACACTGAAGTCACACAATGTTGCTATGAAAAGAAGAGAGGTGTAAATAGTCTTTCATTACAGGTAGCA